TAAATATAGAAAGAATTTATGTTCATCTAACTCTCCATTGAGATTCATGACAGAAATAGAGATTCTTTTTTGTGGCCTCTGTGAATGCACACATATGGGTATTGTCTGTGCCTACGCTGACTCTCTCGGAAGATTCTAGAGCTAAAAGTAACAATTTTATGGTGTGATCCTCCACAAGGTATATGCTCCTCCCACCCACCATCTTCCCCGGTTCCTTTTTTCCACTGAGCTGAACCGTTCTCAGGAAAGATTGAGCGCTTCGCTAGCTGCCTTTTGGCTATTTTTCTAGGCTCCTTTGAGCTTTTGTTTGTTTTAATTACCTACTTAGTGATCCTCCGCATCTTTTGTTTGCCTAATTGGCTCCCCGCGGTCTTTTTATTCCCTTTTTCCCTTTCCCCCCTTCCCCCCTTCCCTAGTTCTTTGCTTATGGCCTCACCGTCTCCTTTTAAATGGTGTACAACCTGTGCGAATAAAATTGCACTTTCTGACGGTCATAACCAGTGCCTTTTTTGTTTGGGTGAGGAACATCCTACCCATTCGTGCCCTGCTTGTAAAAATTTAACCAAGCCGGCACTTAAACAGAGGCTCCAAAGACTTCGGTCTTACTTTTGGCAAACAGCCATGAAGCCTACTTTGTCCTCAGAAGCACCTAGATCTCCTGCCCTTTCAGCCGATAGACTTCCAGCGGGCCAGTCTACCTCTGATTCTACCTCCGTGCTACCAGTTAAGGACACTGCTGAACAAGCAAAATCGTCTGGTAAGCACAAGCTGCCCTCTTCTCAGAAGTCTCGAGCTCATGATCCCAGCTCGAAGAGAAAACCTAAACCTGCCTCTAAGAGGCCCAGAAAGGACAAACTTCCCAGAGTGGACCCCCCTCAGCCTTCTCTGCCTTCCCCTATCCTCGAGGAATCGTCCAGAGAAGCCCCTGATTTAGCCTCGGATGGAGATGATGTCCATGATGTTGCGCCCCCCCCACGATGCCGCCCCAAACCCGGAGCATTGGCCTCAATGCGGCTGCGCCACAGTCCAGCCCGGCCTCAGCCCATTCCAACCCTGACTCAGGGCGGGCAGCTGAAAGCTCAGCATCCAATCTGGAGGTACCCCCTTCGCCTCCACGGAAGAGAACGGAGAAATGAAAGCACCTCTCTCCACCGAGGTCGGTCCCATCGCAAGGCGATTTATGCCCTTTTCCAATGGTACCATACCATATTGGCCCCTTCATGTGGCAATCCTGGTACGAGAGGTTCCAGCCTGAGCAGGCTAAACGGCCAAAAACGACGCCGGAACTCCCCCATGCCGTTCCCATTGTGGACTCAAACCGCCTCCATGTGACTGCCTCGGCCCCGGCAGTTCCGGCTCCGCCCATTCGCCCCTCGTCCCATCAAAGCAGATGCGAGACAAGATTCACGAGGCCCTACCAATGTGTCCTGCACCCTCGATGCCGGACCCGGTAACATCTCATGGCCCTTTCGAAGCCTTGCCACCCCAAGGGCATCAAGCTCCCACGATGGAAGGCTTTGGCCTATCGGACTACCCTTCGTCTCCAGGCTCCCCTGCATCTTCGGAGGCACAACACTCTCAGTCCTCCCATGAGCCCGACCTTCCCCCTCCTATCCCAGATACGAAGGGCAGCCATGCTTCATCCTCCTCGGATGACTTCTCCTCCTATTCAACCCTCATCTTTCAGATGGCACAAGCTCTAAATCTCGACACTGAACAATGTCGAGATTTAGGGCGCTGATGCCGACCCGGTGTTCAATGACATTAACCAGGAGCATCCCGTTCCTTTGAGTCTCCCCTTTAACAAGTCTATCCTTCAACTTATCAAGGACACTTTGGAAAAACCCCCTTCAATCATGCAGATCTCTCGCTGCACCAATGGCCTCTATAGGACCCATGGTGCCGATGCCGAATTCCTCAACAAACATCCAGTGCCTAATTCTATCATCGTCGAGTCGAGTCAAGCTCGATCTCAGGCTAAGTCCAAACCTACCCTCACCAATAAGGATCGCAGGAAAGTCGACACGATGGCCAAATGAATTTACTCTCTGCAAGCCTTCTTATTCAGAAGCATCAGTTATCAAGCAACTGTGGGCGCTTTTCAGCGTCATCTTTGGAATCAAGTCCTTCCTTTCATTGAATCATCTCCTGAACCCATGAGATCCGACCTCATCAACATCCATTCACAGGCTATTTCTCTCGCCAAGTATCAGAGGATTGCGGCGCGACACTCCGCTGAGGCTGCTTCGAAAACTCTAGTCACCTCTATTTCTATTTGATGCTATGCCTGGCTTAAATCCTCCACAATCTCTGATGACACCAAGTCGAGAATTGAGGACTTTCCTTTTGATGGTGCCGGCCTGTTCAACTCCACAACTGATGACACCATGGAAGACTTTCATAAGAAGCATAAGACTGCACGCTCTTATTCTGCCCAGCCGTCTTCCGCCTATCAACGGCCCTTCTATCATTCAGGCCAGTATCATCCTAAACAATATCAAAATCAAAGGTTTGGACACATGACTCTGCCCTTGTAACTCCGGGTCCATAGAGTCCCTGGAGCACATTCTTCTCCATTGTGCCATGTACAATGACATTCACTTTTCAAACCTGTAATTGATCCTTCATTTTACTGGACGGGCAGAAGAGGCAATCTTGTACAATCTTCTGCTAGGCATGAATAAAATCTACACCAGAGAGAGAACCAAATTTATTAGTTTATTAATTTAGTGGCATTGAACTCAATTTTAAAAAAACCACTGCCTAATCTTATTGGATAGAATTAATTATTCCTTTCTGTATAAATTACAGATTATGGGCAATGGCTAGTGTTACCTTGAAACTAACTATGCGCTGCTATATTCTGCTTGCATTGAGGCTATTTGACCTGTTTCATATGGGGTATACAGTATACCCCCATCTATCTGAGCTGTTTGATGTATGTTTTTATGCCAATAAATGTGATGATGATGATGATGATGATGATGATGATGATGATGATGATGATGATGATGATAAGTTCGTTTCTTCCTATTCTTGATAGCTGAATTATGGCTTCTTTGGACAGCAGTTTTTAGTACAATAATATCTATGAATAGGAATATGCACAATGCTTTGTGAAATATGAATTACGGCTGCTATAATTTAGCTTCCCTCCACCTCAAGCAAATGGATACAAGCAAGTTGCACCTAGCTATAGCTTGAATTTCTCTTCTGATAGTATAAATCTTTTGCTGTAGCTTGAATTCATCTTTTGCACACATAGCTCCTTTATGCTACATTCAGTTGTTACACCTGTGAATACAGTACATCAGTTGCACAATTTTTAATAAAATCACTGGAATGTTGGTATTCATTCTGACTGACTGATGGTGTGGCTACAATCCATTGCATTTTAAACTCATCTAGACTGTGTGCATTTGTAGTTTCCTTTCAGATTTGTTTAGATTTATCAGGAGGCAGCAGAAAATGCTGAATATGTAAAGATTTAAATGACAAAAATTAAAAGTTTTCAGTTTTTTAAATGGAGACATTTAGCATGTCTGTTGAATACTACCAGTAGAGAAGAAAAGGAAAGAAATTTATATTAGAACATGCAAAGAAATACAAATTACCTTCCTCCTGCCTTTCCCTTTTGCCAATGTACTTTCATATTTTTTCAGTATATTTTCCCAGTTATTTTTCCCATCTGTTTTCTTTCCATCAGTTTTTGTTTTTGCTTTCCTTTCTCCGGTTCTTTCATCTTTCAGCCTTGTACTTTTAGAATTACATGCTTATAAAAGATATCAATATAATGGTATAGTCTATTTCTTATCTCTTTATTTCAGTACAAAATATCCTGAACCTACAGTTAGCTGTTCTAAACTGTGCTTCTTTTTATCTAATTGGAAGTCTGCACAAGGGGAGTTTTTTGGTCCTCTGAGAGATTGCAGTACCATTTTGTCTAATTGTTCCTTATGCTAAACTACCATATTATAAGCATCTTTGGAATACTAAACTAGTACTATTGTTGAGTGCTTTAGGAGCTTTTAGCTGTTATGCCATTAAAAGCTTGGTGGCTTTCTGCTGACTACAGACTGATAAAATATTATTCCAGCTATTACAGAATTTTTTAAAAGTGCTCCTACCTTCTGCATCATAGCAAAATCAAATATTGACTATTTAATCTGCGCATTTTAAGGCATGCTCTGCTGCATCATTTAAATGGAATAAACTGTCTTCATCTATTGTCAATCAGATTCAATAAGATTGAAATAGTTTGTTTGCATGCTATTCATTTGAACTAAATCCCTAGCAAGCATCATCTGTTAATTGGACTTAACATTCATGTTGCTAAATGAGAAGCATTTTGGCTGCAGTGTGGAGTGGTAAGACCTACCCAGTGGAATAAACAACTAACATCTGCTATCTTGTCCTGCTCCAGCTTGGCTTTTACCAGTTAAATGCATTGGCCCTAGGGTCAAGGTTATGGAATTTGTGGTTCCTTGGCTGTAATGTGTGTATGAGGAAGAGAAGAAACAGACTAAAGACTAGCCAAACAGAAGCTCTGTAATACATATGGCATGTTTTGTTAAAACCTCTACAAATTCAATGCAAGCTACAACACTGTGTTCTGTAACATTGGCAGCAGAATATGCAATTAAATTTATTCCAGCAGACATATTCAATCAAAATTTAACCACAAAGAGAAATTTGAGAACCTCTCAGTATTTTGGTATATGTGCCTCAAGAAATACATGGGAAAACAGTAATACCTTTCTTTACAGCATCCCTTTTCTCCTTTGTTGAACAAATAGCATTATATGCAGCCAGACCCACATCCTTTTCTTCCTTTGATATCTGTATCTGCTTGCAATTTATTACTTCAGCCAACTCATTTACAATTTGGAAAATACATGTTGCATATGTCATATTTTGTAATGCAAAATTGTAAAATTCTACAGCATTTAATATCAGCTGCATATTGAATTGTTTTTATTATTACTTTATTTGGAAAACAGACCCTTGTGTCCAACCTGACTGATTTGCAGCAAGAAAAATCAGGTTTGAAAGGAAAATTGGACCACCTGACCCAATCGATCAAACTGAGAGAGGACCCATCTCCTATGACATTTGGCCATTCTGGAACAGCACCAGCAATTCCACTGAAGAATGTAGATTTGGAAATAAAGCAGCTGCAGTGTAAACTGAAGGTGACAGTCTACATTGTGGGATCATTGTAAAAATATACACTACAGTTCCTAAACAGGATAATAAGTATTTAAAAGCTGAAATATGTGTGAAAATAAAATGCATTTTAAGGAGTGAATAACCTTTCTATTTAAAAGGTTGTCACACAGCTATAATTAAATAAGGGTAACTTAACATTCCGTCAAATAATATTGAATTCACTTGCTCCATCCACTCAAAGATTAAAGTAAATAAATCACATTCTAGGACTATGATTAAATCTGGTTTCTTGAAACCATTATGCAGGAGATTTGTACTTAAGACCAATCGTATGATTCCACTCTTTACAGGATAAGTAGGAAGTGTGTGTTGATTATTCTAAGAATATTTATTTGACATACTATGCCATATAAAGTACTTTCGGAAGAGGTACCCATGTTAGTCTGTGCTGGCATATCATGCCATACCAAGAAAAATTTTAAAAGAAGACAGTACCTTAAAGACTAAATACTGTGTATTACTATGAGCTTTTGTGTGGAAGTGAACTTGTCCATGAAAACTCACATTAAAACATAGCAGTTAATCTTTAAGGTTTTTTTTTTTTTTTGCGTTCTTCTGTGGCATATATGAAGTATATGAATTAACAGTTTCAGAGGAGATTAAAATATTTCTACTGTTGTATCCCAAATAATTAAATATCACCAGTTTTGTGTGAAGAGAAAAAGGCCCAATGCTTGTATTTTCTCCAAACACTGCCATTTGTGGTACAGAGATTTGGACAAAATTTGTCTAAAATTTCAGGAAAGTCCCAAATCAAATCAGGGAACCCTTTTAATCATCTTCATGAAATTTCATACACCAATATAACCTAACTTATGACATGTTTCACTTTTAAGTACTTAGTCTTTTCCCTGATTTCCTGCAGCCCATAGAATTGCAGTGTGAGTGTTAATCATAACAAAAGGATAGTACCAAAAAGGAGGAGTTTGTGATATCTGAGAGGTGGAATCCTTCATGATATGGGAGATTTGACTGCAAAGTGGAGCCATGTGGTGTCCCTAACCACTGTATAGTATGAGAAGTTTCAATGTTATTTCCTTGTAGAAACAAGTGGTGGGGAGTGTGCGTTTTTGGAGGGGAGCAATTTTTTTTATTATAACTGGTGCTCACAAATACTGCAATTCTACCTCTCAATGCTGCTATGTTCTGAAAGCTTTTATCCCGTTTGCCCAAGTGAATAATTTAAAGAGACAATTATGGGGTCAAAGCTTAGTTTCAACACCTTGGGCAGGAGTAGCTGTTGGTGGAAGAGTCGAAATGAAGCGCAAAGTTTGATAGTGTCAACATTTATAGACTACAGCTTTGCACTGCACTCCTGCCCAGAGGTACATAGGTTTTTACTAGTCCAGTCCAAATTATCCAGTATTCTATTTGTGTTGAGGCTTCCTGTGTTTAATTGGGTTTGTCTGAGGTAAATGGTGATTTTTCTTGTTCAAGAATGGAATCTCTGGCTTGTGGTTATATGATGTGTAAGTTAAGTTACAAAAATGCTGCATTTAAGTGACCAAGTTTTGAATTGAAAGGCAGAGGTTGAACTGAGATTTGAATTTCCTTACTTTAGGAAGTATACTCTTAGCCATAACCTTTTGCTTTAAACTGAAGTCCCCCTCCCCTGCTTTTGGAAATAGATGCTTTGTTAGCAGTTGGCATGTAAGATTCTAGAATAGCTTATTGTAGTTTGTCTAAGTGAAGGTTGTGATAGTGCAGATTTCACAGTGCAGATCTTCATCCATACAATTAACAGTGCAGGTGATGCTCTTTATATGATCACTGAACATTAAAACCTATTTGGATGTTGGTAATTGGAAATCTTAGAGAGCTAGTTGGTGCAGTAAACAAGAACTTTGTAGCCCTAGATTCAAACCCCCACTCAACTGTAGGATAGATTTGGTGATCTTGTGTCAGAGCTATGTCTCAGTCACAACAGTGGTATAAAAATAAAAGGTGGTGTGGGGGTGTCTATGTATGGTACCCTGAACTCACTTTCAGAAGGAAAGCATAGAAATGTAACAAGCAAACAAAAACTTTTTAAAAATTCTTCTGGGAGTCTTCAGAGTTTGTCTTAAACATTTATATGAGAGGTCTGCAATAATTATCCATCTCTAGTGTTTAGTCATTAGAGTCACTCCTTCAGTTCATTTCCATGTTTACACCTGTTTCCATGTTTACACCTTCTACAACATAGAAGATGTTTCTTTATATGTCCCCTCACATGACAGGAATAAATAACAGATATCTTTTCAATATATACAAATATGCCCTGTATCAAAATATTATAGCCCGTATCCTACTGCTAGTCCTGACAGGGGTAGGAGTATTGACTCAATGGGATTTGTGTACATAATGACAATCAATTCATTGGGTCTACTCTAGTTGAGACTAGCAGTACGATACTGGAAACTCATTTTATAAGTGGAACACTTATGTCTATATTTGTAGCAAGATGTGACTTTTGGTTGCCTTTTGATTGTTAAAGTGGGATGGATACAGAGAGAAAAGCAGTTGCATAAAAACCTTATCACACCATCACTCTGCATCGTTCACTGAATTTATGGGGTCTTCAAACAATAACGCTTTCTAGGTTTTTCTGCTACTTCTTCCCTCTTTTTCTTTTCTTTTCTTTCGTTTTGCAGAAAATACATTGAGAGGGAAAAGATGGAATGGCTGCACAGTGGCTTTTGTTTGCTAGTGTGAGGGCTCCTCTGTCCAGAAGTATGTTACTGCTACTGACTCTGAAATGAATAGCGTATGAATGGGCTGCTTGTCTGCTCTTTCCTCTTTTGTTTTTTTGTGTGTGGTTTTTTGTTGTTGTTTTTTTGGTGGAAACACAGATAAAGAAAAAGCAGTGGAAAAACATAGGAACACTGCAAATGGAAGAACTTATTGGCCAAAATCCTATTTCTGGTCTAATTCAAATGACATAACTTTTGGTAGCAACTTGGTAGCAAGTTGTGAAGGCATTGGACATTATTATTTTTTATGCACTGAGCTGCATGATTCAGTATGTAACTGATAATGTCTACAATGACTTTGTAACTTCCAACAATTCACTGCCAAAAGTAACACCAATATTAATACAATATGTATACCCTCATAAAATTCCATGAGTCAGGAAGAGTCATTGCATGATAAAGACCTTATCTGAAACCACTATCAATGTATCTTCTCCCAAGAACAGCTAAATCTGGGTCAATAGATTTCAGATACGGTATATATAATGTTCATAATCTGTTTTATTATATTAATGGATGCTATCCTACCCCTTGTCTTTCTTTTTATCTGTAAAGCCTCCTTGCTCTCTCTGAATAAAATTCTTATGACATTTCTTGTCTCACCTACATATGTTAAAAATGACAGGTGGCAAACATCTCACTTGATCAGAGTTAACCTTTATAGCATGATGATGATCTGGTTTTAGTAAGTAACTGGAATCCTAATTAAATATCCCAAGCCAACGTGCCTCCCTGATATAACTTGTTGTGTGTTCTTGAGATTGTGTTGCTTTTCAAGCAGGCTCATGGGATATGTCTAGGAAGTTATGTTCCAGACATAACTGTTTCTGTGCAGTAGAAATCAGTATTGAGAAAGGCATTTCAGTATAGCAGCTCATTAACTACAGCTAATTATAAAACACTTCTCTTTAAGATGCCACTGTGTGTGCTCACACAAGTTTTGTCCTGGAACTTTGGCACAGAGAATTAAAAATGATAAGCATTTGATTGATGACCCAAGTTAGGTGATGTGTCAGACTGTCTGGGGGCCTGTCACAAAACCCACTTTATTTCTGTACATGTCTTAACTTCACCTGCAGAATTTAAGAGAAGCAAGCCAAGACGGCAGCATATTAATGTATTCTTCCCTCACCATACTTCCAAAAGCCAAAATGTAGCCACACATGAAGTATGTTTTGAGAGCCAAGATCTTGCTTCTTAATTTAAAGATTTGCTTCATTTCCTTTCCCCTGCATAGCAAAGTTGTTTTCCACGGGAAGTGCTGACTTTTCCTTTGGGCATATGTACACATACTGTTGTTATAATAAGTATTGCTGTGTAAGTCTGCAGAGACCTACACAAGTGTCTATTTTACTGCCAGTATGTAAACTTCTATAACTGGGTGTTATACTTCTCCCTTAATGAAAGTCAAGCTGCACAGGTAGTCCTAAAGAACGTAGGCTTTTATTCTGTTACCATTTATCATTTTAACTATTTTCAGGTTAAACATCATATATTTCAAAACTAAATGTCCAATGCAGAAACTCTGGAATCTCAGGCTTGACCACATAAAAACTTTTCATTCTGAAAAATATACATAATAAATGATTGCAGTTCTTTCTTCTGTGCTGAAAAATCCTTTCCTTACCAAAAGAAAGCTCCTGTTGAAGTGCACTGTGACAGAAGAATTATGACTTGCATTCTTTTTTGTCTCTCAAGAGCATAAACTAAACATTATTCTTTATCCCTTACATTATGATTGTGTTTATGATCATAGGCCCTTCTTTAGAAGAGGACAGTTAGAGATTGAAGTTGTGTTTGCATTCTTCACAAACCTGATATTATTTTTTATTTCATTATATGAATGTTAAAAGCATTATTACATCTCTGCTGTAAAGATTTAACAAAAATGTAAACATGTTAAGGCACTGTGAGAATAAAGTATTGCTAGATTTTAATTGGAGGGATAGCCAACATTTTATTATTAAAAGTATAAATGAAGGTGCATACAGTATTCTAAAATATTTTAGAAACAATAGTTTATATCTAACTCTTCACATTAGAATCTATAATTCCCTTGAGAGGAACAAAGCCATGTGCAGGATTCCCATTAATGTTAATAGTGTTACAAGCCTGCAATGAGCAGGAAACACTTCACTCCGTTTTACACCTGATATGAAAAGTCCCTGAACTCAAACAATGACTGAACCCACAAATGTATACTTATAGTGAACTCCTTTATGCTGTACATCTGCAGCCAGTAGTGATCATAGAGAGGGTGAATATAATGAAATTAATGCTTTCAAATGCAATAATTTCATGACCCCAATTTTAGCTGTTCAGCATTAGCAAAAATGTAAAGGGAGAATTATTTTCAGTTTCTAAGAGAGTTCTTTTTGTGACTATTCCCTTTCTTCTAGAATTGCTTGAAATACTGTGTGCCTCATTTTAGGCTTATTGGTCCCATGTCAATCTGCATTCAAGTTTGTTTTTTTCTAGATAGTGTCTAGGCAAACAGGGAACTTTTACAGGACTAATGGTTGCATTTCTGCTGCTAAAATTCCAAAGCCTCATATTAATGATAGGAATTTAGAAAAGGTAGCTCAGGATATGAGAGGATATCAGAACAGGAAGTGATGCAAACAATGACCATCTCTCTGTGTGGCTAAAGAATTATATGGGACGGTACCCTCAAAACATGCCTGGCTTCTCTTGAAGATCAAAAGGCTGCAAGAAAAATGGATCTCATAGGCATGTGCTCTTTGTTCCCCAGCCTGATCCTGTAAGAAAATTCCTGTAGGCTGACCGAAACAGAGGTCTTTGAGAGCTGTCAAATAAGATTGAATGTCTTTGGATCTCAAGTGGCCCATTTTACCTACAATTATTTTTAAAAAGTGTTAAAGTTTTTCTAAAGGACAACTTTTCTAAGTACTACCACAATAGAGCTACTTGGATGGGTAGCAAAACCTTTCAACCTAATAAGAAAGAACTCCAGTTGCCATGACTCAACTTCCATATAACCTCACCTGGATGACTGAGACTCTTCACAGATACACAATGACGGAGATATTCTTTTGTACTGTGATCTGCTTTGATTACAATATAATGATTACAATAAACCAAACTGTTCAACAGTAAATCTTTTGTTTGGAAAAAAGATTGTTATCAGTTATACTTTGAATAATTTTACATCCCCACCATTGAGGCTCTAATAAATATTTTATTCAATCTAGACTGCAAATAATGAAATCACTAAACATTTGTCAACTATTAAAATGTTGAAATATGAAGTCCAAGGAAAGGAAGAACAGCTGCGAGAACGGCAGGAAAAGTAGGTTGAGTTTATCTGTTGTGTTTGGTTCCCCCTACTGGTAGAAATACAATTATTCCAATAGCATTTAAGATTGAGTTTAGACGTTTCTGAATGTGATCTTTCTGTGTGCTTCCCTTGATCTTGCTTTTTTGTGCATACTCCAGACTGTTCAGGCTTTTGAGGGGAAAAGAATACATGTTGATGGCATATCTGCTTTTTAATAATGAATTGGTAATTGAGTACAATTTCTGTATTTCCAGAAGGATACCACAAGTCACATTTCAGACTGGTTCCAGAGTGAATTTGGCTATTCTTGATGTAAATTACAGGGCAGCTAAAATCAGTCTTTCAAATACAGTGATTCTTTGCCTGAGAACTAAGACACATGTCAAGGTTTAGATGCTTAATCTAGATTATCCAGTTTTATTCGTAAACAGTGCAAAGGGGCAAATTAAGCTTATTTTTTTTAGCTCATTAAATGGCACATATTTGTAGATAATTTGTCTAGTTAAAAATATTGATAAATAACTATGGCCACTACACAGTAATGTGTATCTTTAGAAACAAAAAACATTTTATTGTTGAGGTTCCTTTTCCCTTATATATAAGGGTATCTTTATGAAGCTAGAGCAATATGCACATTTTATTGATTAATGCCTTAAGATACATGGAAAGAACATAGAAGCTCTGTTTAGATTTTGTATTCATATATAGCTATGTCATATCATTATTTTAGATAGTAAATATTGAATGTGCTTGCTAGAAGTAATCTGCTTGATTGCCCCCAATACACTGATGTGTCCATTCAAATGTAAATTTCTTCTATCATTTTTTTACTATGCCATGGCTTTCTTGCTGATTTTATGTGGTACTGATATGATATCAAGAGGAATGTACTATATATAATCATCAGCCTGACTTGCTTCATTTGGATAAAATAGGCTAGCCAAAAGAAAATAGTTACAAGTAATAGGACAATAAGTATATATTCTTCTGTCGCATGTCAGTGAAAGAGCATTTTTAATTCCTTTTCCACACATTCACTATTTAAAAGTGATATATATCTTTAAAATGTTTTACCCTATGTGTCAAAGCAGTATTATTTTTCAAATTTGTGCATTGCTTTTCATATATTACTGTTCATTTTTCTTTTCTTTTTTAAAAAATCTTGTATCATAAAGCTTTTTGCATACTGAATAGTGCTCCATAGTAATGACTGCGAAACGCTAATATAAATATTTCAATTTTCCTTTCTGTGGCAACCTACCTTAAAATTAAGTACTACACTTCGCGAAGAAGTGATTAAAATTAAGTAATAGGCCGAGAAGCTATTAAAATTAAGTAGTATTCTCATTTTATCTGTTCCTAATTATACCTTTATCTTAGTTTTGGTTATTTTGCATAAATTATTATATGTTTTATTGTTCAATATTACTATTCTAAAAATGTTGTGCTTCAGAAGTCTGAAGAGTTTCAGTTTATTTGTTATTGCCTTTATAGATGTAGAAAACTTCATCTCTTCTCAACAACTTTGGAATGGCAAATGGTGCAAAGATTAGCACTCACTGGAGTCATGTGTTTTAATTATTCAAAATAAGCACATGCTAGTACAGTAATGTTCAATAAATCTGTGGGTATTGCATTTTCCCCTTATTCCAAGGATTTCCCGAATGGAGAGAGACATAACTATGAAAAGGCATTTAATAGACGATTGGAGACTGCGTATGAAAGTAAATCAAGAAAAGGCGAAAAGCTTTAAAGAAATGATACAAACTCTTGAAGAAAAGGTATTTTGTGTTTGTTACATATTTTAATCCAAAAATAGAATTTGATACATATACAGACTCCCCAGTCGAAACAACCTAATGAGATTATTGTACAGTTTTGAACACAACCTGCACTTTAAAAAAATCTGTGATATTTTTATTTAGAAATGGCATCAGATTTTTTTGGTTAATTCCATTTGAGCACAGAACTAGTACATCTGTGTTCTCAAAATAGTGAAATAATTTGAGAACTAAATGTTTACTGTTTGAAACAGTAATGTGGTATACAGTACCATGAGAATTTTACATGCTTGGTTGCAAAATAAGAAGTGTATTTATTATATGTCAATATTTCTTCTGCTTATATAATAATATTTTTTGTAAAAATATGGCTTGAAATGTAACCTTATAATAATATCCATGTGTCATCCATTCCACTATTATATATTTAATTATTCAATTTTATGTTGTCTGCAGGTTGTTTTCCCCATGAATATTTAATGCATTTTTAGATCCTTAAAGGAAATTGGAAGTAAAATTGCACCTTCTTGACATTGTCTGTGCAGCATATTTTGTCCCATTCTCCTCAGTAGACAAGGCACATGTAGAGGAATTCCTAAGGCTACAAGCCGAACAACCCCCGGATAGAAATATAGTTTTGGAGGCAAGAGTTGCTTTGATTCCCTTTTAAAGCAGATGGAAGCTGCCTAGTTCACAAAGTAGCCTGTGCTAGCAGTCATCAAACAGTTGTCAGTGGCAGAGAGAACTCCTCTCTTGCACCTTGAATCCAAGATTTTATATTATTAAGAAATCATCAGCCCAAGAGAGAATGGGAAGAGGTGAGGTGGGGCTGGGTCAGGGAAATCACAGACAAGATAAAGGGGATGCAGTATAAATACTGTTTTCTTTCTCAGGATGGAAAAAGCATTTTAGAGATATGTACTTTGTTTTAAGTATTTCTTCATTTAAATTTTTACATTTTTCAGGTAATATCAGAGTGAGAAAACATCTATCATTATATATCATTGATATATAATTATATTAATATATAATTTGAATAAAACGTTGCTGCATTAATTTGATGATTTCCCCCCCACCCCATATGCAGGTACTGTTTACTGGAGAATTTTATGATAAATATTTGTTGCCATCAGAATGTATCTAAATTTCCCACATTCTAACATCTGGCTACTTCTTAAACAACTATGAATGTTGCAATCCTGTGGCCAGTTGTGTGTGAATAATCCTTACTGATTTCAGTAGAAAAAAATTCATGTATTAACTGACAGCACCCTACATTTCCACCCAAGTTAGTAAATGAAATGCATAAAATTAAATGCAATTGTTATTTTGGCAGATGGTTTTTAGGTTTTCCATTTAAAAATTTTAAATGCTTTCTCTAATAGTAGTGATTCTCTGGGTGTTCCTTCAGGTAAAGACACTGACTGAAGACTGTTCAAACAAAAAAACATCAATTGATTCACTAAAACAGAGGCTTAATGTAGCTTCAAAAGAAAAAGCACAGTATGAAGAGATGTATCGCAAAGCCAAACAGGAGTTGGAGAAAAAGGTGCATGGTTACAGATTTTTTAGAATAAAACATTTATTTTCTGCCTAACCATTTTTTGTTACAGATAGTTATATGATCAACACCTTTCCATTTTTACTCTGCCCGTAATAACATGTATATAATCTCCTAATTTGGAGCCCAAAGGGAGCCACAGGCTTGAGTTTACAATAGCTGAGCATGGCTGCTGAAGGTGGGACATTTTGGAAGTAGCTCATTCATAGGTTTGTCATGAGTTAGAAGCAACTTGATGACCTATGACAACCACAGATGTGAAGCCATTATAACAGTTGGGTGTGATGTCGGTAATATTAACAAGCATCTCTGAAGTTCTGCTAATTGAATGTATGCTTTGCAATGTTAACTAAGAAGTGTATGTGTCATGTCAAAGACTCTGATGCCTGAACATGACTCCAAGAGACCTACTGAAGTCTATAGACTTCTAGGGAAAAATCATAGCTGGCATTTATCCCAAAAAAGGGTTAATTCCAGAATGAAACCAGACAACTTTTTCCAATCATAATCAAAATTCATTTGAGTATCAAGGTATAGATAGTGTCATTGTTGCAATAATTCCAAGCAACATCACCTTATTTAATTCTGCAAACTATATTCCTCTACATTGCTTCTATGTTCCATAAGCACAAAAATATTTCAAAATGTAATAAGTTAGCATCTATTGAAAACACTTCTACAGTTATGAAAAAAATGTAGGCAAGAATGATTAAAAATATATGAAAACTAAATTTAGGTTGCGGCAAATACTTAAATCACAATTCAATTCAAAATACAGTAAAAATATATTTTAAGAGTGAAAAAGAACAACGGGAATGTTTCAGTTACATTCTAAAAATGCTAGAGTTTATAGCCTGGCAAGCCACATTGAAACAGCAAAAGGAAGAGAATACTTCTCCAAAACACCAGAGTTCTTAATGTATTAAAAAATAGCCTCTAAGCCAGTGGTTCCCAACCTCAAGTTCCCAGATGTTCTTGACTAAAACTCCCAGAGGTCTTCACCAGTAGCTGTATTGGTCAGGATTTCTAGGAGATAGTCCAAGAATATTTGGACACAAGGTTGGCAACCATTCCTCTAAGCATATTAAGAAAACATACACAAAATAATTCTGAATGCTCATCCAGCCAAACCAGTTTGAATCCAAGAAGAAGAAAAATGGGATGAAAGCTATTTTCTTCTCCTTTTGGATTTATACATTTTGTTTTGAACAGAGCATGAAACTACTCGTTTTATTCCCCTGAATGTCAGAAATGCTTATCTTGGGCATTTTAAGCATCTCCTCTAGGGCAAGCATGAAGCTTGTGTCAGTTTTCCTTGTAACACACAACAATATGGGTGTAACAAGGAATCAATGTTTTTTGTTCAGTCAATGTGCTCAGGGTCTTATCCTGAGTACAGCCTGAAATCCTGCAAAGGAAATGGTGCTTAGGCTTAAACCAGATGTGATACACTGAAATGTATTGGCAGATGTTTTAAAGCTCAAATACACAATGTGCTTTATGTTTAAGCAGAGGAATGGCAGAATGTTGGGACTACAGTGGTGCCTCGCAAGATGATGTTAATTCATTCCGCGAAAAACACTGTCTTGCGAAAACATCTTCTTGCAAAAGCGCGATTCCCCATTGGAATGCATTGAAATCTATTTAATGCATTCCAGTGGAAAAATTGTCATCTTGCGAAAATTGTCCATAGAAAAATTGTCTTGCGGAACGCGGTTCCCCATTGGAATGCATTGAAATCTATTTAATACGTTCCAATGGGGAAAATCGTTGTCTTGCAAAAATCGTCCATAGAAAACATCGTCTTGTAAAGCGCAACAGCAATCGCAAAAACCAATCATCTTGCAGATTAATGGTCCTGCGAGGCAATCGTCTTGCGAGGCATTACTGTATATAAGACAGTGAAAAGCCTCTGTCAGGTAAAAAGTAATGTACAGTGGTGCCTCGTTTAACGAGTGCCCCGTTTAACGATGAATCCGCATAACGATTCATCTTTTGCGATCGCAAAAGCGATCGCATTACGATGTTTTAAATGGGAGGAAATCGCTTTGCGATGATTGTGGGGAAGCGCTTCCCCACGATCATCACAAAGCCCCCACTGATCAGCTGTGTTTCAGGGGGTGGAGAGAGCGAGCCCCGAAGAACAACTGATGGGCGGGTTTTTTTGCGAAGCTGGCTTTCCAGCCAGCTTCTCAACCCCCTCCCCGCCGCCCGTCAGCTGTTCTTCGGGCTGCCTCTCTGTCCGCTCCGATCTCCAGCCCGGGTTG